TTGTTCATTCGTTAAGTGTAATACCACTTCTGGAAATTAAAGGCAAGGTGCTAAAGTGACAGACAAGAAGAAAAATATATGATTAAGCAATCTGAAATTGCTAATTCACCATGCATCCATATGCATATCTATATCTTAGTAAATAGAAAGGGATAGAGATATATATTTTTTCTTTGTATCATCTAGAAACATTCATTATAGTTCCTGTCACTAATCCTTCACATTTCCAATACCTGCAAGTTTGACATAGGGAAAAAAAAATGGAGAAAATGTAAATGAAAGAAAGAATTTCTATCATTTTGAAAATGGCATTATAAAAATTAAGGTGTCTGTTCCCTCTAGGAATTTCTGTAAAGTATCCTTAGAAATGAAGTTTGACAACAGTACAATCAGTTTCAATTTTTTACTCTTACTTTCCATATATTAACTTTATCCAGCATATTTCTTATTGACTATTTTTGGAAAGTATGGGAGACTTTTTTAAGGAAAATAAATGTATCTTTTCTTTCATTAATCTGTATTTGTTTCTTAAATCTTGAAGAATCCAGCTTTGATCATTCTGGAAGTCTTGTGGTATGCTCTAGTTTGGAGTGACTGAGATCTTTTGTGATTTACAGGAGAAAAGGAAACATTTAAAAATTGGCTTATGCCAGTCTCTTTACTCCATAATTCTCAGTGTTCTTGTATTAAGGGATACATAAATAAAATCTCATCTCCCCAAAGCACATTAGCATTGTCCTAAACATTTGAATTTTCCTTTATTTTTGGCTGTCAAACCTAGGAACTTCTCTCTGGTTGCCATACTTCTCTTTTTAGTTTTATTTGCTTCTTACTTACCAGCCCATTGGTATGATCTTTTTCACTGCAGTATGATCACTGCCATGGTCACTTGGAGAGGAGATAGTTGGAAGGTTAGGATCCGGAGGAAACATTACAAAGAAGGGAGGAAAAAACTGTCATTTGGCCAAATCTGGCTCCTAATATATTTAACCAGTTCCAGAATTAGAAAGCCTTTCTGTACATTTTCTTCTATTTTTCTTGCATTTTTTTCCTTACGTAATAAAATTAAAACTTTTGGAGCCCACAGTTGACATTTTTCAGAAAATTGAGTTATCAAGGCAGTAATTATTTCACGGGGAGATAAAACTCTCATAGCCCTAACTGTCAAATAGGGCCCTTTTCAGATTTTAATTACAAAATAAAATTAGTCTGCTCTTCCTCGGAATGGTTTGTGAGTGGTTAAACAGAGCTTTTTCCCAATACTGGTGGTCGTCAAACTCTGCTAATTAGCAATGCTGAGAAATTCCAGTTAACAAGGACATTCTCCAAGACTCTGCAGGTTCCCTGCCGTTTGCCTTCATTTCCATAAGAAGATTAAGAGAGGAGGGGAACACACTCAAATGCAGATGCAGAAAAGAAGCGTTTTTTAACAAGCATCATAATAGTAAGATGCTTGGCTAGTTCTCACCTAATTACTGCAAGTTAAACCTCTATTTGCCACTAAGAAGAAAAAATAAGTCTACAGTCCCCTATCTCCACAAAATTGTTAGTTGGCTTCAGATATAATATTTGAGGAGGGATGGGGGAGTTTTGGAAAGAAAAATCAATTCAAAAGATTTTTAAATAAAATTTAGTCACACGAAGCAGTTAAGGCTTTTTGGCTAGGGCCTATAGTAGAACAAAATCAAATCAAAATGTCCCAGAAGTTATACATTTTTCTTCCTAATTACTAATCTTGTTAAAAGTGTATAGGTTTTTGCTGCTCATGGAAGGGAAGTGTTACACTCTCTTTAGATTAAACACTTTCAATTTTCATAAATTGTGCCAATGGCAATGTTTTAAATTCTGAGAGGATGAAGCATCCTGTTCCAAGTCTTTTTTTTTTTTTTGATTGTCTAGTAGTCAATGGTATATTGTTGTTAGTATTGTAGCTATCTATTATAAACCTAAAACAGTATTGCTTCTGTCATCTTCTAAGATTGTTATAGTTATTATTATATTTAGGGGCCAGTGATGGTGCCAGACTGAAATCGAGTGGGCAGTGATCTGATTTTTTTTAATGCATATGTTCTTTAAAATCTAATGAGAAAATTGTTTCTGCTATCACCATCTTCTTTAATCTTATTTTCATAGCACATTATTATGTATAAATGCCAGCCACAGTTAGTTTATTGCCTCGATAAGTACAGCAGGCTTAATTAAAATAAAGCTGTAAATAAATGCAACCAATGATAACACAATTGTAATGTATTTCCATGGCTTATTTATGTGATAAAACCAATTAATAAAAAACCTAGCCAGCCCCTTTAACCTCTTAAATGCATTATTATAGAGTTCAGGCACAAACACATGCATCAGAGAATGTGTAAAAGCTGTTATATATCATCCCAAGGAAAAAAAATGTGCCTTGAGAGAAATACAACGAGACTTAAAAGATTTGCGTCTATAATCATCCGTTATTAATAATTATTTTAATAAATATACACCACCATTTTCCACACCAACCCCTTGGTTGTTTCTTCAAACTTAATTATCATAAGCTTTTTAAAGTTCTTGGAATAATGCTATTAAGTAGGCCAATGCATACACAATCATAAAGTGAATGCTTGGTCTACTCTTCATGGTGTCTGGACAATAATAATTCATTCATATGTTGAACCTCATAATTTGTACCTATTTTTTCCTGTGGTTTAACTTCTCACTTGAGATTGTATACATATTTTTAAGTTAAGCAAATTAAATCTGATTCTTATGATTTAGTTCTACAGCTTATATGATATGTTAACTTTTCTTTTCTTTAGATTATGTGTAAATAGTTTGATCTTCCATCCCCCACATTTTTTTCCCTTTATTTCCAAACACCTACTTTTAAAGATAATAGTCTTGGAAAAGCGAATCTACCAGCAGGGGGCGCACCAGCCACATCCCTGAAACCAGCCGCGCTGAAAAGCCGGTGGCCGACTTCTCTTCTCTAGATTTATCAACCTTTTCTCTTTCTTAATCTTCTGGTCTGTGTTTAGCTTAATATTACACCTCGATTAAACATAAAGCATTGCTTTATTTTGAAGAGTACCGAATATTTATGCGTTTTGAGAAGGCCAGTCTCACCCTTTCCGGGCGCCCAAGAACTAAAGCAAACCATAAAACTTAAGAGAAAAAGGAGAACCTTGCGGGGGGCGGGCAGGACGGTTGACTGGAAATAATAATTTATTAAGAAAGTCTGCAGGATTCTTTTTTCACAACTTTTCTGGGTTTCCAGTGAGCATACTTAGCTTGAATTTGACAATAACAGACAGGCCTGGGAGGGCAGAGATTGGAGAAGTTGGGGGAGGAATGGGGAAGGGCGGTTGTGGGAAGAAGAAGGTTAGAGTAAGGAACAAAACAGTGCACAGTTTTGTAAAGATAATAAATGGAACGTGGCTGGTAGATACTATTCAGTACATTTTCTTAGGGTGAGTAAGGGTAGATCAGGGGAGGGGGGGCGGAGAAAGTGTTACAGAAGAAAGAAAATAAGTAACCCTGATGGTTTAAGCCCTTTATAAAAAAGAAATGGCATCAGGGTTTTTTTCTTTCTCTCCCCCCCCCTTTGTAGTCAAGTGCATTTTAGCCACAAAGATCCCAACAAGAGAGTGGAAGGAAACTTAGACGAGGCTTTGTTTGACTCCGTGTAGCGACAACAAGAGAAACAAAACTACCTATTTGTAACGGACGTGCTGCCATTGCCCTCCGCATTGAGCGCCTACCTATTGAAATCTTTACGTCCGGACAATGGGAGAGCGGCTAAAATTACCCTCTTGGGTCCTGGGCGGGCAAGATTCCTGACCCCCTACCCCCGCCCCATCCCATCCTCCTCCAGCCCGGGCCTCGCCGGGCTCCCCCTTCCTAAGTCCTGGCCTCCTCCCCGCGTGCGCCGCCTGCACCTGTGCCTGGAGAGCACCGCCCCGCCCGCCAGGCCCAGGCCCCGCGCAGCGCCCCAGACCTGCTCGGCCCGGCTCTGCGGCCACCACCATGGAAGTCAGCGGGGGAAATGCCAGGGCTGGTTCTGCTTGGGTCCTGGGAACTCTGCGTGGGAGGGAGTTTGTGAGTGCAGCCCCAAAGCCATCTCTGTACAGTGCCAGGGGATGCCAGGAAGTTGCAATGACCCTCCCCCACGGCCTGCACTTTTGAGCGTCCTTCTGTTTCTCCCTTTCCTTCCCCAGCCTGCATGTGAACCTGCACAGCCGAAATCCTTCTTTGGGGGAGGCTTAGGAGGAAAATGGGGAGGAGGGAAAGAGAGTACCAGCATCCCCTTTGCGCCGACTGAATGGAGGAGACAGACTGGTGGGAGATGTGGCTGGGGTAAGAGGGCAAGCTGTGATGTCCCGGGCTAAAGAGCCGGGTTGGACAAGGAAATGGCAGTTTCCCAAGGCCCTGCGGGTCCTCGGGCCTGGAGTCGGCCACAAGGTCTGAGCAGGGTTTCTTTTTTAAGAACAGAGCAAGTTACGTGGAAGCAAGGGTTTCGCGGACAGATGTTCTGGCCCCCTATCTTCTTGTCGGGCGGGTGTGAGGAGTGCGCGCGGGTACCTGCAGCAGGAAGAGGGCAGGGGAAGGGCGAGCTAAGGGAGAAGCGCACGAGGAGCTGGAGTTGGGGGGAAGTGCTGCGGATGCGCGGGAGAACAATGACACACCAACTCCCGCACTGCCGGTTTCCAGAAATACTAGTTGGACAGTCGCCCTGAACCACCCACCATGCCCTGCCCCACCCCCACACCTTAGCTGCCTCCCGCGCCCCTTCCTCATTTCAGTGCCCTGCACCGAAAAGTAAATCGGCATTAAGTTTAAAGGGAAAGAAAACCACGTAGTCTGAGTGCTGTTTACCCACTTCCTTCGAAAAGGCGTGTGGTGTGACCTGTTGCTGCGCGAGGGGATACAAAGGTTTCTCAGTGGCTGGCAGGCTGGCTCCGGGAGCCGCCTCCCCCTCCTCGCCCTCCCCCGCCGCCCCCCGCCTCCCCCGCGCGGCCGGCGGCGCGCTAGGCCCCGCCCCCTTTCATGCAAAACCCGGCGGCGAGGCCGGGCTCGAGTGGAGGAGCCGCCGCGCGCTGATTGGTCGCTAGAAACCCATTTATTCCCTGACAGCCCCCGTCACATGGATGGTTGTCTATTAACTTGTTCAAAAAAGTATCAGGAGTTGTCAAGGCAGAGAAGAGAGTGTTTGCAAAAGGGGGAAAGTAGTTTGCTGCCTCTTTAAGACTAGGACTGAGAGAAAGAAGAGGAGAGAGAAAGAAAGGGAGAGAAGTTTGAGCCCCAGGCTTAAGCCTTTCCAAAAAATAATAATAACAATCATCGGCGGCGGCAGGATCGGCCGGAGGAGGAGGGAAGCTCTTTTTTTGATCCTGATTCCAGTTTGCCTCTCTTTTCTTCCCCCAAACTATTCTTCACCTCGCTTTCCGCGCGGAGCCCTGCGCTCCCGACACCCCCGCCCGCCTCCCCTCCTCCCCCCGCCCGCGGGCCCCCCAAAGTCCCGGCCGGGCCGAGGGTCGGCGGCCGCCGGCGGGCCGGGCCCGCGCACAGCGCCCGCATGTACAACATGATGGAGACGGAGCTGAAGCCGCCGGGCCCGCAGCAAACTTCGGGGGGCGGCGGCGGCGGCGGCGGCAACTCCACCGCGGCGGCGGCGGGCGGCAACCAGAAGAACAGCCCGGACCGCGTCAAGCGGCCCATGAACGCCTTCATGGTGTGGTCCCGCGGGCAGCGGCGCAAGATGGCCCAGGAGAACCCCAAGATGCACAACTCGGAGATCAGCAAGCGCCTGGGCGCCGAGTGGAAACTTTTGTCGGAGACGGAGAAGCGGCCGTTCATCGACGAGGCCAAGCGGCTGCGAGCGCTGCACATGAAGGAGCACCCGGATTATAAATACCGGCCCCGGCGGAAAACCAAGACGCTCATGAAGAAGGATAAGTACACGCTGCCCGGCGGGCTGCTGGCCCCCGGCGGCAACAGCATGGCGAGCGGGGTCGGGGTGGGCGCCGGCCTGGGCGCGGGCGTGAACCAGCGCATGGACAGTTACGCGCACATGAACGGCTGGAGCAATGGCAGCTACAGCATGATGCAGGACCAGCTGGGCTATCCGCAGCACCCGGGCCTCAACGCGCACGGCGCCGCGCAGATGCAGCCCATGCACCGCTACGACGTGAGCGCCCTGCAGTACAACTCCATGACCAGCTCGCAGACCTACATGAACGGCTCGCCCACCTACAGCATGTCCTACTCGCAGCAGGGCACCCCTGGCATGGCTCTTGGCTCCATGGGTTCGGTGGTCAAGTCCGAGGCCAGCTCCAGCCCCCCTGTGGTTACCTCTTCCTCCCACTCCAGGGCGCCCTGCCAGGCCGGGGACCTCCGGGACATGATCAGCATGTACCTCCCCGGCGCCGAGGTGCCGGAACCCGCCGCCCCCAGCAGACTTCACATGTCTCAGCACTACCAGAGCGGCCCGGTGCCGGGCACGGCCATTAACGGCACACTGCCCCTCTCGCACATGTGAGGGCCGGACAGCGAACTGGAGGAGGGAGAGATTCTCAAAGAAAAACGAGGGAAATGGGAGGGGTGCAAAAAAGGAGAATAAGAAACAGCATGGAGAAAAACCCGGTGCGCTAAAAGAGAAAAAAAAAAGAAAAAACATAAACAACAAAAAACAAAAAAAGCCCATCACCCACAGCAAATGACAGCTGCAAAAGAGAACACCAATCCCATCCACACTCACGCGAAACCCGCCATGCCGACAAGAAAACTTTTATGAGAGAGATCCTGGACTTCTTTTTGGGGGACTATTTTTGTACAGAGTAAACCGGGGGTGGGTTGGGGAGGGAGGGGGAATGGACCTTGTATAGATCTGGAGGAAAGAAAGCTACGCAAAACTTTTTAAAAGTTCTAGTGGTACGGTAGGAGCTTTGCAGGAAGTTTGCAAAAGTCTTTACCAATAATATTTAGAGCTAGTCTCCAAGCGACGAAAAAAATGTTTTAATATTTGCAAGCAACTTTTGTACAGTATTTATCGAGATAAACATGGCAATCAAAATGTCCATTGTTTATAAGCTGAGAATTTGCCAATATTTTTCAAGGAGAGGCTTCTTGCTGCATTTTGATTGTGCAGCTGAAATTTGGGACAGTTGCAAACATGGAAAGAAGAAAATTATTCAGATTTGGACATTTTAATTGTTTAAAAATTGTACAAAAGGAAAAAATTAGAATAAGTACTGGCAAACCATCTCTGTGGTCTTGTTTAAAAGGGCAAAAGTTTTAGATTGTACTAAATTTTTTAACTTACTGTTAAAAGCAAAAATGGCCATGCAGGTTGACATCGTTGGTAATTTATAATAGCTTTTGTTCAATCCCAACTTCCCATTTTGTTCAGATAAAAAACAACATGAAATTACTGTGTTTGAAATATTTTCTTATGGTTTGTAATATTTCTGTAAATTTATTGTGATATTTTAAGGTTTCCCTCCCTTATTTTCCGTAGTTGTATTTTAAAAGATTCGGCTCTGTATTATTTGAATCAGTCTGCCGAGAATCCATGTATATATTTGAACTAATATCATCCTTATAACAGGTACATTTTCAACTTAAGTTTTTACTCCATTATGCACAGTTTGAGATAAATAAATTTTTGAAATATGGACACTGAAATTATGCTTGAGTCTTTCATTTATTCGGATAACACTGTGATTATACATAACTTCCCAGGGAATTCTAATACTGTGCCCAGCCAAGAAAGCAAAATACCAAAAACCTCGGTATTTCTAGTCCAGTGTCATGTGCTAACGTTAAATACAAAAAAGAAATGGCTGGATGATTAATAAGTACTCTGGAAAAATTGAAATGCTTCTGTCATTTCTAAAATAGAAACTAGATACATATATTGTAAATCCACCCCCTCCTTTTCTAGGCAGCATGAATAAGCAGGATGGGGACTTAAACTGATTTATGCCACTTGTTGCCAGAAAGGATTCAATTCTGAAATTTTTCATGTAGTTTAGCAGATGGGGTATTGAGCCAAATCAGAACCAGGTTGGCTGGTTTTGTTTTCATTTTCTTCACAGCACAATGGTCCTTTGAAACCTGGTTATAGGGGAAAATGATGCTTCTTGTATCAGAATAATTGCAAACTAGACATGCAAAGTGTTCATCTGCTGGGTGGGTGTTTGGATTACTCTGGCCCTGCTATTGTCTGAGAGGAAACAAGTGGTTTGCTTTCTTTGTTCCTTGACTTCATAAACTTTCTCCTCTACATTTTCCTGTTTAGGGGCAAGGGAAAGCAAAGAACGTCTTGCAAAACTCCCCGACTTATCACGGACATAGTTTTTTTTTTATTATTTATTTTCTTTTTTCCCTCTCTCTCCCTCCCTTCCCGAATTCCATTTCTTAAATTGGCAGCGCGGGTCCAAGCCTGTAGCCCCAAATCGGATAATCTCTGCAGCTGATAACAAGCAAAACAGAAGCCAGGCAACAGCCATATTAAAGAAGAAAACAATCAACTCTGAGGTAGATATTTTACTTTGTCCGGTCTAATCACATTTGGAGATGATTATGCTTTTGATCTGTTAACAATGTTTTACTACAGTAGTAGAGAAGTGGGGGGAGGGGAAAGGGGTGGGGAAACAAGATTGGATTTGTTGTTTTCTTTTGCCCTAGGAAAGGTAAAGAAAGGCTATAGTTGTCCTCAGTGGGAGCGGAAAAGTTGGGGAATCGCCTTGGTCTTTGAATTAGCGATGCTTCTGCATCACAACCGACCCTCGCTTTGGGGCAGCCGGAGAACCTGTGACCTAGTCAGGGACTTTTCTTCTTTATTTACTACTTGCTTCGCTCATCTTCCCCTCCCGAAGGGGACCAGGAACCAACAGTCGGGCATTCTTGAGAGTGCGGGTTTGCTACCCAATTTCAAGAGCTTGTCGTGTCAACTTGCTACAACTTTGGAGAAGTTGGAATTCCGGCAGCGCCTTCCGCCCTTGAGTAAAGTACCCACTGCAGCCACTAAGTTAGCTCATCCTTTTGGTTTGCATCTTCTTTCTAAGAAAGTGTTTCTTTCTCATGGTGTTGCTAATGTTAGTTCTGGGCTGAACTGGGGATTCTCATATTCTTGTACTTTTCATTTCTTCTGGATTGCTTTATTTTAGGTATGTATTGGGTTTTATTATTTATTACTTTTTTATCCTCATTTTTAGGGTAACATTATACTGGGAAGGGACAATTATTATTCCGGTTACCAATTCTAAGCGAGGCATTTTCCACCTTAATTAATGCAGAGACTCTAAAAGAATTTCCCCTGGCCTGGCCAGCTATTGTAATGCATATACGGATTATTCACGTGGTAATGAGCACATTCGCCAGTTCTTGCTCACACATACGAATAAAAGAAACTTTGAATAAAGATCCAAATGATCATGCTGGGGGAGTGAGGAGGATATTCCCGGAATTTGAGTCAATCGGCTACATAGAATGTATATATTTGAAAAATGGAGATATATTAGAAATATGTATAGGGATTTAGAGTAATTGCACTGCACTAACCTCCCCTTAAAAAAAAAAAAAAAAGAACCCACAGAATCAGAATAAAAAGCAAACTTTGCGAAGTGCTCAGGTTCAAATATTTTGCAAGAGGAAAGAGAGCATAGTATTTTGGGAAGTGGAACTAGCTTTGAGTAATTGTCACTGTCTGCATAAAGCAAGAGAACTGTTGCCCCTCCCATCCCTCCATATCTCTAAACTATATAGTTGGAAATGGAAGCCAAATTATTTTGTTTGCAAATATAAATGCTTTTGATAAACTGCATTTGAGGAAAATGATACATATCACAAGGCATCATTCATTTGATTGGGTTAAATAGGTCCCCAAAATATGTAATTTCATGGCTAGATTAATATTAAACATATAATATTTTAGTACATTTGACTAACCAAAAAATAATAATATGATTTTCAAGAAGGGGAGTAAATCCATAAACTGGCCCAGAGGTGGTTATCTTATGGTGCTGAAGATAGTTGTTGAATGTTTAGTTCTTTCCTCGGGATATTATTCTGCTCAATGAAACCATGCAATTTCCAGTCAAAGGGAGTGAATTTAAATGTTTTGTTAACCTTATACACAGAATAGAAATGTGCAAAAGGATGAGATTATAGTTTGTTCTCCCTGCAATTTTTTTTCTCTCCTGAGCCCACCCCCCCATACTTTAAATAAAGAGCGTTAAAATATTTTGCTGAGCTGGAGTAGATTAGCAAGGTTTCTTGCCAATGCTGGGAAGCTGGTATTACAGACCGTCCCAGGGGAAAATGGCTCACATTAACCACTAAATGAATATTTGACAAGGGCTCATTCGGAGGTATTATTACTATAAACGTGTCCCTACTGGACTTTTCAAGGGTCAAAGAGCAACACTTCAATTAATTATTTAGACTGCTAGTAGATTTGGTTGTAATAGCTGTACTTATTTCTAGAAACCGACACATTCTTACAGTAGGAAAATCTCAGGAGAATCTTCTCCATCAGCAACACCTTGGATTGAAATACACAAGGAGCCTGGCATTCTAAAGCTGACTTTTTCATAAAACCTTTTCCTGGGCTGGTGGGGGATGGGGAAGTAGATCATAGTCTTTTCCGTTTCATTGATTATTTTTGGTTTAAAAGAAAAAAAAACAAGAACATAATTTATCTTAATTTCCACATAATGTCTGGTATGGTCTTTTAGGAACTTACAATTTGGGGAGAAGGAAGGGTGTTTATTTATAACCTTTGCCTTTTCTAAGTAGAGATGTCACAGGGTTTCAGAGACTCTGAAGGCCCTGAATTTAGACAGGATACACATTCCTGTTTGCCAATAATGTTCAGGCTTTAAAATGGATGGTTCCATAGGCTGAGTACTCTGAGTTCTAGCTGTCTCAGAGTAAATTGGGGTACAGTGTGGTCCCTCCCTCCCTCCCCACCTATTGGTCTGAACACTGCAAGGTGCAGTGGGGGAGTGAATGTTCCATTTCTGCCATGTCATAAGTTCTTCTGTGGCCCTAGGTAAATGGTAAGGGAATGATTTTGAGGGTAAGATTCCTTGACAATAATATACATTGAATGAATAAGAGATAAGCTGTGAAGGGGGGGTGGGAAGCAGTAATTACAAACCCAATTCATTCAGCTTTTCAGAACTTTTGTTGTGGGAGCTCCATTGACGGGTTTTGAGCTGCCAGTTTTCTCACATTAAAAAGAACTGATCAGCGCCTCAGGGGGACAAGAAATACCGCTTAACTGCATCGTGATGGGGTCTTCATTTAGAACCATTACAAGAAGAAAATTAAACAGTGCCTTTGTGTGCACAAGGTTTACTTTTCAACTGCTAACAGTTTATAGCTAACTGCTCTGAGATTGAAGTTTGACTATGGTTTGATCGCCTGCTGATTGGCACTGCTTATTTATTTATTTATTTGTTATGATTAAGAGAGCTTTTTATCTACCCCCTCCTTTATTTCTTGCTCTTGGAGAATTTTTAAAAACAGGTCCTCATATTTTTCTTTGTGGAAGGCGTTTCTTTTGCCATGAACTTTAGCAGAGACTTGATTTCACATTCCCCAACCCCCCTCTGCATTATTGCCTTAATATGATTTGCATTTCATTCTCCCTCTCTCTCTCTCTCTCTCTCTCTTTTTTCTGCTGCCTTTCCTTGCTCTCAGAGCTAAGGCTGCTTTTCAGGCCAAAAATGGGGTTGGGGTAGGGGTTGATTTATTTCTTTGCTTTGCTTTCTTGTTTTGGCCTAAGTTGGAAGAGCGCTTGGTGAATTTCCCTAGGGACCTGGTCTATAAGGTGAACCCCTTAAAGAAAGAAGAAGGGGGGAAACTCTGACCTTAACTGTGAAAATATGGATAAAGTCCAAAGGGACACAGCCTCCGGACTTCTAGAGTAAGACGCCGTGGAAGGAGCTTTCCAAAGACAGGGAAGTTGCCCAGACCAGAGAATTGGTTTAATGTCTTTCATAGTTATTTTCTATTTAAAACTTTCCTGGAAACCTGACGTCTGCTACCACCAAGGGAGACTTATAACTTCCTCTCTTCTTTCTGATGATGCTGTCCAGTTTTACAATTCTTGTTTTCAGTTTGTATATTTTGCTTCTGTGGCCTTTAAAAAATAATGGACTTGACTTTCTTATTCTGAGTAAGGAGACTTCTCTTTGGAAGGGGGGAGTATTAAGATAAGTTTTCCATGGCAGAAAGGTCTCTTTCTGTATTGCAGGTTCAGACGAATTTTTATATTTCGGTATAATGCTGATATTTCTAATTCCTTAAGCGCTATATGCTCAGTTTCTCTCCCAAAGCAAATAGAACGTGCTCTCTTTTCGGGGCTCAAAAGACAGTTGCTGCTTCTAGGCGTTTGAACTTGAGATGCTTGTTCTACTTTGAAGAGAAGTGTCAGGTGATTTAGAAGCTCGGAAAAGTCATTCGTTTTATTGCCCTCGTCTGCCTGCACGTACTGAATGAAGTGTGCACTGTTTTATATAGATTTCAGCGCTTTGAACTATCATTTGCCTCCTTCTCCCGGCTTCGGTGCGGGACACCGCGCGGGGCTGTGAGCGGGGCTGTGAGCGCGCCGGCCTCCCGCCGGCTGCCCCAGGGAGCGCGCAGCGCCAGGGGCGAGCTGACGCGCCCGGCAC